CTACCGAAACTTTATTTGCTTGCAAAACATAAAACTTAAAAGTAAATTGTAATTGTAAAAAAAACTTTCCGGAAATGTTTTATTAAAATTCTGATTTTAATTTCTGCTTTTAAGTTCCGGATTTGTAAATAAATTTACAAAACCTGTTTAATTCTGATTTTAATTCCGGAAATAAAATCAGAATTTAATTAATTAAAATCAGAATTCCTGAAGAAATTAAAAATCAGAATTTAATTAATTAAAAATCAGAATTCCTGAAGAAATTAAAAATCAGAATTTAATTAATTAAAAATCAGAATTCCTGAAGAAATTAAAAATCAGAATTTAATAAATTAAAAATCAGAATTTAATTAATTAAAAATCAGAATTTAATAAATTAAAAATCAGAATTTAATTAATTAAAAATCAGAATTTAATTAATTAAAAATCAGAATTTAATTAATTAAAAATCAGAATTTAATTAATTAAAAATCAGAATTTAATTAATTAAAAATCAGAATTTAATTAATTAAAAATCAGAATTTAATTAATTAAAAATCAGAATTTAATTAATTAAAAATCAGAATTTAATTAATTAAAAATCAGAATTTAATTAATTAAAAATCAGAATTTAATTAATTAAAAATCAGAATTTAATTAATTAAAAATCAGAATTTAATTAATTAAAAATCAGAATTTAATTAATTAAAAATCAGAATTTAATTAATTAAAAATCAGAATTTAATTAATTAAAAATCAGAATTTAATTAATTAAAAATCAGAATTTAATTAATTAAAAATCAGAATTTAATTAAAACTTTCCGGAAGGTCTTATTTTATTCCGGAATTTCTATTGTTTAATAGTTTACGACCGGAAAAAGTACACAATAAATTGTAGCGCTTCCGGAAAAATCCGGAAAACTACATAAAATAACAAAAATTAAGGGGGAATCATAAAATAATATTTAATAGCTAATATTTTGCCCTATTTCAGGACAAACAAATATGAAATTGAGAGCCATTTTACCTTGCTGTATTATTTGTATTATTAAAAGACAAGCAATGTTTTAGAGGAAAATGGAAGCAAAACATAAAAATATTAAAAGCGTGCCATCAAAATTATTTATTTAGATTTTTAGTGTATTTTTAAAATATTATCCTGGAAATTAGGAAAGGTTTAAAATGAAGGGCAGTGAATAAAACCTTTCCGGAAAAGTTTTATTAAATTTCTGAAATAACTATAATGTCTTTATTTCCGGAAGAAATTAAAATCAGAATTTGATTAGTTTCCGGAAAGACTTTTTCCTATATATATAAAAAGTTTTCCGAAAAAAATTTATGGAAGTTTCTCTATTTGTGTTCCAGAAACTTTTATATATATTCCGGAAACTTTTATATATATTCCGGAAACATTAATATATATTCCGGAAACCTTTATATATTCCGGAAGCTTTTTATATATATTCCGGAAACTTTTTATATGTTTTCCGGAAGCTTTTTATATATATATATATATTCCGGAAACATTTATATATATTCCGGAAACATTAATATATATTCCGGAAACCTTTATATATTCCGGAAGCTTTTTATATATATTCCGGAAACTTTTATATGTTTTCCGGAAGCTTTTTATATATATATATATTCCGGAAACATTTATATATATTCCGGAAACATTAATATATATTCCGGAAACCTTTATATATTCCGGAAGCTTTTTATATATATTCCGGAAACTTTTTATATATATTCCGGAAACCTTTATATATTCCGGAAGCTTTTTATATATATTCCGGAAACCTTTATATATTCCGTAAGCTTTTTATATATATTCCGGAAACTTTTTATATGTTTTCCGGAAGCTTTATATATATATATATATTCCGGAAACATTTATATATATTCCGGAAACATTAATATATATTCCGGAAACCTTTATATATTCCGGAAGCTTTTTATATATATTCCGGAAACTTTTTATATATATTCCGGAAACCTTTATATATTCCGGAAGCTTTTTATATATATTCCGGAAACCTTTATATATTCCGGAAGCTTTTTATATATATTCCGGAAACTTTTTATATGTTTTCCGGAAGCTTTATATATATATATATATTCCGGAAACATTTATATTTATTTATAATATCTTTTTCCTGAAAAGTTTTATTAAATTCTGATTTTTAATCGCTTCCGGAAATACTCAAAACAATAATACTTCATATTATTCCATTCCGGAATGTTTGGAGCTTTAAAAAATCTACACAAGAATGTTTCAATTTAATTTCAATTTTTTCTGTTTATTCCAGCCAAATTGCCAAAACAAGAAACCCTAAAAACATTGAGATTCAATTCGTCAATTTATGGCTCTAAATAATGCTTGTTTTTGTGTGTGACATTACTAATTAATTTAATTCCCGGCGGTAACCAATATATATGAATATATCTGTTCTTTTGTTAAAAGCCGCATTGCCTTTTTATTTTAAGGTTATGACAAGAAAAAGCAAATTAGATTTTTGGAAATTGAGAAAAGATGTGTAAAAAGATGATGACAAATAATTAAAGGAATTAAAAAGAGACAAGAATTGTGTCAAATAATAAATTGTAAAAAATCAGAATTTATAAAATTTCTGATTATTAAAAATTAAATTCTGATTATAAAAATTCTGATTTTTAAAAATTAAATTCTGATTTTAAAAATTCTGATTTTTAAAAATTAAATTCTGATTTTAAAAATTCTGATTTTTAAAAATTAAATTCTGATTTTAAAAAAATTCTGATTTTAGAAAATTCTGATTTTTAAAATTAAATTCTGATTTTTAATAATACAAATTCTGATTTTTCCAGAACTTGATAAAATTACAATTTGTAAAACAAGTTTCGAACAATTGTAAAAATTCAAGTTGGAATAGAATTGTTTTTAGAAAATTGTAAAATTTGTAAAACAACTTTAACAAATATTCGAGTTAGAAAAACTTGTTTCGAAACAAATTGTAAAACTTGTTTTAATTTATATATCAGAATAAAATATCAGAATTTATGAAATAAAATTCTGATTTACAAGCAATTTGGGTTAGCTCATATCCGAGTTTTTTTTGTTGGACGTTAAAGACTGTTTTCCCATGCTGATCAAAAACGGGAAACTTTTGTTATGTTTCTTCGACTTCTTGGATATAGCAAGGAGGACAACATGTCTCTCTCCTGGATATATGGCTCTCCACTGCTGATTGACGCCATCCTCCAAATTAACTATAAAAGCCCCAAATTTTTAAACTTTTTATCACCTACAAAATTCACCAGCGTTTTGCTCTGCTCACTCATCATGTCTGGTTTCGAGCGCTGTTCTTCTTCTCCGCTGCTGATTGGCGCCATTCTTCTCTTCAACCTTGCAGTTGCTGATGGGAATGCTGTGGACAACACCGACGACGATGTGAAGATCATGAAGGTTTTCTTCGGCTGGATCAGTCCGGGGGCTGTCACGAGCAATGTACGCAATCTTGTTCTCGTGATAATAGGAATCTTGGCCCTAATCGCGTGCCTTTGCTTCTTGGTAAGTTCCTCTGACCTTCCAAAAATTCAATTTTTTCCTTCAATTCCAAGGTATATTGCTTTGTCTGCGGTGGCAACGACAACAAAAAGGACGACGCCAAAGGCAACGAGAAGTCGTCAAAGAAGAGCGGCACCGACTTGGAATCGGGACTCGTATCGGACGCGGATTCAAAGACGGCTGAAAAATCAGACATAAAGTCTGAAGCTGATAAATCGGACAAGAAGGATGACAAGAAGGAGGACAACAACAAAAAGTCCGATAAGAAGGATGACAAGAAGTCTGAGAAGGAGCATACGGCTAAGAGCAAAAGCAGCAGTAGTAGCGGTTCGGATGAAAAGGACGGAAAGAAGAAGAAGAGCAAGAAAGGAAAGAAGGGCAAGGACGATAAGAAGAAGGACAAAAAGGGTGGAAGCGGCAAGGATGGTAAGGACGGCAAGGACGGTACAGCTAGCGACATTTACAGCACTGAGGAGTCAAAGGAGACCTCGGAAGAGGATTGAATACGACGACAAATTGGTAGGGGAAAAAATTTTATTTTTGAAAAAATTTTTTTTTGAATTTCAGGAAATCCTGTGCTCGCTTAGGATGCTGCTCCTTGCAACCGAACATTGAAATAATTTGCTCCTTGTTGTGATTTGCCTCTTAGCCTTTAAGCCCCTCACTTGTATGTATATATTGTTGTCATCAATTCCATAAATATTGTCATATAATAATTCACACTTTCAATTCCCTAAATTTCTTATGTTGAATGTTCTTGCCTTGTTATATGTTTCTTGTCATATAAAATGTTGTGTTGATTCGTGTAATATAAAACTTGTGTATTTTTGAAATTTTTCTTTTGTTTCAGGGTGAGTAGTTAAGGATAGTGTTGGGTAGTTGATTAGGGTAGTTAAGGGAAAGAGGATTTTCTAGAAATTCATTAGACCTCCAAACTAGAGTGTAAAGCCTTTAAAATAATTACAAAACGAGACTAATTGTCCCAGTAAAATAGGGCACTCGAGAAAATTCCGGAAAGGATATGTAAATTCCGGAAGACTAATACAAGTTGCAGCTTAAAAAAAGTTTTCAAGTTTAAGCTTAAAAAAGTTTATTTAATTCAAGTTTGTAATAAACTTAGCAAAACTTATTCAAGTTGTAAAAATTATTTTCCTACGTAAACACCTTCTAGACTATATTCATTTAAAAATTCATAACTTTTCGAATCCTTTAGATAAAAATTTGATCTTTTTAACATTTTATAGCTCTAAATCTCTTCTTTCTTTTGACATAAAAATTATGAAAAGATTAAGTCGAATTTTGAGTTTTCGCGAAAAATTTGGAAACGAAAATAAATTTTACTGTAATATATTTGTTGTCATGGTAACAAAAATACTAAATTATCCTTAAAATTAAAAATATCCCTTTAAAAATTATTTTTAACCAAAAATGGCAGCAGAAATACATATAATCGGTCAGATTGAATCCGCTTATGGTTTTGGTAATAATCGAGTAGCTTGTCGTTGGAGTTTGCATTGTGGTAGGTTTAAACTTGAAAAAATTTTTTGAAGCAAAAATTCAGAAAAAAAATTTTTTTATTAAAAAAAGGAGGTGGTTGGAGAGTAATAGAAGGAGAAGTGGAAGGGCAAACACATACCGACTTGCCGGAAAGTGAACGTGCTTACTTTGCTCATCCTATAGATGTACACCTTGCTACTAGAACAATTCAAGGAAAATTTAAATTAAAATTAAAAAAAATTTTTCCCTTTAAAGGCTGGCCAAGAATACTCGTAGAAGTGTGGCATTATGATAAATACGGGCGTCATTCAATTTCTGGTTATGGAAATTGTTTTGTGCCTAGTTCACCTGGAGAGCATAAAGTAGAGTGTCATTGTTGGAGACCTAAGGGAAATTTTAGGGAAGAATTGACTCGGAGTTTTATTGGAGGGGGATTGCAGCTACGCTCAGCTAATGTTCTTTTAGGTATTTAATAAAATAAATTTTTTAAAATAAATTTATTAAAAATATTAAATCGTTCACCTTTCGTATAATTTATGTAGGTAAATATTAAATTATAGTATAAACCTCAATTTAACAGTAATTAGAGAAAAATAATAAACTTTCCGGAAAAAATAGCATTCAAATTCCGGAAAGTAGATAAATTCCGGAAGACTAATACAAGTTGCAACTTAAAAAAGTTTTCAAGTTTAAGCTTAAAAAAAGTTTATTTAATTCAAGTTTGTAATAAACTTAGCAACCTATATTTTCCTACCTAAAAACATGCTAGACTATATTCCTTTAAAAATTCATAGCTTCTTGAATCCGTTAGATAAAAATTTGATCTTTTTAACATTTTATAGCCCTAAATCTCTTCTTTCTTTTGGCATAGAAATTAAGAAATAATTAATATTAGAAAATTTATAGCCTCTTAAAAACATTAAAATATTCATTAATTTAGACCCTGTTCAAAACGCTCAGGTTTGTAAAAAATTAAAATCAGTTAAAAGCAATTTTTAAAGTTGAGAACGGTTGCTGCCGGGACAGTTGAAATGAGATTGGGAATTATTACTAGACATCTTGACAAGTTCGGAATTTTATGTTAAAAATGATAAACAAAAGTTGTAAAAACATTTTATTCTAAAAACAAGCAATAATACAGTGTGTTAAGAAATTATAACCCCCCTTGAATTTTTTTAGTTTCTCTATATTCCCGTTGTCTGATTGTTCTGAAATTTTTGTAGTAGCTTTCTAATGCATATTAATTAATATTTACAAAAAATCTTTAAAAATTTCCGATTTCAGACTTTTTTTGGCCGTTTTTCCAAAAAATTAGTGTTAATAAATTATAACCCCCCTATATTAAAATTTTTTTAACACACGAGATATCTCTACAAAAATTTTTCTGAACATATCTACCAATATAGATAAAAAATATAAAAGAAATTAAGTTCTGATGTACTCCCATCATCGAGATCTTGAAATTCGAAAATCAACGTAAAACTTGGGTAAAGGTCTTTAAAAAATATTTTCGACCCCTTACATGTGAAATAAAAATTTTATTTTAAGCTTATCTGAAAGCCCTTTAAATTTGCTATAAATTTGTTTTTATCTCATTATACAGAAAAAATTCACCGTCGAGAGCCAAAGTGATAAATCTTCAAGTCATAGAAATCACTCAAACGCCCCCAAAAATAGATAGAATTTTAATTTATAAATTAAACTCACCATTTCTTATAGTAGGTTAATTTTTTTCTGAAAATAAAATTAATGCTATCTTGTAGCAAATTTAAAGGGCTTTCAGATAAGCCTAAAATAAAATTTTTATTTCACATGTAAGGGGTCGAAAATATTTTTTAAAGACCTTTACCCCCGTTTTACGTTGATTTTCGGATTTCGAGATCTCGATGATGGGAATACATCAGAACTTCATTTCTTTTTTATTTCTTATCTATATTGGTAGATATGTTCAGAAAAATTTTTGTAGAGATATCTCGTGTGTTAAAAAAATTTTAATATAGGGGGGTTATAATATATTAACACTAATTTTCTGGAAAAATGTCCAAAAAAAGTCTGAGATCAAAAATTTTTAAAGATATTTTGTAAATATTATTTAATATACATTACAACACTACTGCAAAAATTTCAGAACAATCCGACAACGGGAATATAGTGAAACTAAAAAAATTCAAGGGGGTTATAATTTCTTAACACACTGTATTGTTTTAATAAAATAATGTGTATAATTGAAAGAGACGAAAGGAAGAATCAGTGAAATAAAAAAAAATAATATATAGATAATAATATTAAATATATAATTGTAAAATGTTTAGTTAATTTTGGAAAATACGGGAAGTTTGTTTTACACAAACATGAAAGGACAAAAACATTTTGCAAAACATTTTACAAATAATAAACTTTAAAATAAACTTTGTTGCAAACATAAAGAAAACAAGTTAGAAAAATAAACTTGAAAACAAACTTTGTTACAAAAACAAGTTTATTCTTGTAAAACAAGTTTATTTAAAAACAAGTTTATTTTAAAAACAAAGTTTGTTTTGTAAAAATACAATTGTAAAAACAAAGAAAAACAACAAACTTTAAAACAAACTTAATTGTAAAAACAAGTTTATTTAAAAACATGTTTATTTTAAAAATAAACTTTAAAATAAATTTTGTTACAAAAACAAGTTTATTTTAACAACAAAGTTTGTTTTGTAAAATAAGTTTATTTAAAAACAAGTTTGTTGTAAAAACAAAGTTTATTTTTGAAAAACAAAGTTTGTTGCAAAAACAAGTTTAGTTTAAAAACAAAGTTTAAATATAGTAATTGTAAAATAAACTTTGTTTTGTAAAAATTACAATTGTAAAAACAGAGAAAAACAAAGTTTAAACAAACACTTAAAATAAACTACTATATATTTATTCCAAAATTAACTAGTAAAATTCTCTAAAACACCAAACATACTCTCTCTCTTAATAATATCAGTTTAAATAAAATTATTCAATTTAAAATTCAATTTGTTTCATTATTCAATTTTTGATGCTGTTGTTCCTCAACAGTAATAACATCAACCTCTTCATTATTTTCTTCTCTATCCCCATTAATTTCCAAAGTTTGTTCAATTCCATTATTTTGTTCTGTTGAAAAATTTGTAGCTGCCGGAGAATCGTTGCTGCGGGAATTTTGTGGTTTGGATTGGAGTTGGGCAAATTGGTGGAAAGACGCAAATGTGGAAGAATTACATTCGAAAATGACCTCAAAATTAAAAAAATTTTTGGTTAATTAAAAATTCTTTACTTGTTGAATTCTCATTTTAGCCAATTCTTTAATATGCAAAGGCATTAAACGCAACTAGAAAAAAATATTTTTTAAAGAAAGTTGAAGTGAAACTGTTACTTGAGCAGCAACTGACTGCCCAAACCAAGTAGAATCGTCTTGCGAAACAAACAAAGCTGTCTGATTCTGTGCTGCTGAGAGAGTAAAGAATTGAGATGATGCAGGAATAATAATGCTGTTATTATTATTGTTGTTATTATTGTTTTCAATAGAAGCGGAATCACGAGGATATTCTACCTAAAAATTTTATTGCTTAATTTAAATTCTGATTAATATTCTGTCCGGAAAAATATATAAAATAATTATATTTATTTAATTTCTTCCGGAAAGTTTTTACAAATTCTGGTTTTATTATTTCCGGAAAATAAAAATCAGAATCCTATAGATAATTTCCGGAAAAGGTATATAAAATTCCGGAAAATATATAATTTTCCGGAAAAATATATTAACTTTCCGGAAAGGTATATAATATTCCGGAAAAGTTATATAAAATTCCGGAAAGTATATATAAACTTTCCGGAAAGGGCATATAAAATTCCGGAAAGTATATAATAAAATTCCGGAAAGTTTTATATTACTTTCCGGAAAAATATATTAACTTTCCGGAAAAATATATTAACCTTCCGGAAAAGGTATATAAAATTCCGCAAAAATATATACAACTTTCCGGAAGGGTATATAATTTTATTTTTACGGAAAACGAAATTCTGGTTATATTATTATTTCCGGAAAAAGGTTATTACTATACCTATTCTAATAATTATATATTTTTCCGGAAAGTATTATTTTAATTTATATAAAATTCTGATATTAGTTCTTCCGGAAAGTTTTTACAAATTCTGGTCTTATCATTTCCGGAAAAACATTATATTAATTTATATTCTCACAGCAACATTTTCCACATTTTGTGTACCCACTTGTTGTTGTTCCTCCTCCTGAAAAGCTTCAGAATTATTTTGCTGTTGAATATCCTCCACATTATTTTTATTATTTTCTTCTTCATTTTTATCCCCTTTATTCCAACCAACATTTTTCTTTTGTTTTTTATCTATTTTTGTTGTTGCCGAAATCTTTTTTTCTCGAATAATTTCTTTAATTTTATTATTATTTGTTGTTGATTGTATATTAGATAATGTTGCTGTTGCTGAATTTAAAGAATTTAATTTTAAATTGTCTGAGGATGTAGATGAAGGATAAGAAGACGTATGATGATTTAAAGTTTCTGTTGTAGTTGAATTAATATATGAATTATTATTTATTGTTTTGTTGTTGTTGATAGCCTTAGCAGAAGCATTCTTTTAAAATTGATAGAAAAAATAAAGAAAATTAATTTTTATTTATTCTAATAGGAAGTTATTATACTAATATACAGCCACTGATTAATTCCGGAAAACATTTAAGGAAGAATATTTAAAATTCCGGAAAAAAAAATATGGAATAAATTCAGATTTTTATTTTCCGGAAAGAAATTCAGAATTTTAAACATTCAGGAAAATAATCATTTCTTCCGGAAATGGCATTAATTTTTTCCGGAAAAATTATATAAAATCCTGGTATTATTTCTAACCGGAAAAATCGGAATTTCAAACTTTCCGGAAAATATATACAAAATTCCGGAAAGATAAATACAAATAAATTCTGATTTGTATTCTATTTTCCGGAAAAAATTCAGAATTTTAACCTTTCCGGAAAATATATTATTTCTTCTGGAAAAATGGTATTAATTCTTTCCGGAAAAATTAGAATATAGGTATTTGTAAAACATTTCCGGAAAATATATAAAATTCCGGTAGTATTTCTTCCGGAAAGTTTTACATATTTAAATTATTTATTTTATCCGAAAAACCAATAAAAGTCAGAATTTTAAATAAATATATTCCCCCATTCACCTTTTCCATTAACGCAGCCGAAGCAAGAGCCATAAGCGGATCTAAGCACTTTTCACGAACATTTCTTGTCTTTTTAATCTAAAAATATTTTTATTTTAATTTTCCATTTTAATTTGCCTGTGTTTCTTCAACTTCAATACGTCCATCATTCAAAATTGTGACAAAAGGTTCTTCTTCCTGGACACTTTTTGTTTCATTATTTTGCAATAATTCTTCATTAATTTCATTAATTTTATTTAAATTTTTTGTTGATTTAACTCCTCCTCCCCAACGTCGTTTTATTCCTTTAATACAATCTGTGGAAAAAATTTTTTGAATTTTTTTTATAATTTTTTATTGACCATCAAGTTCAGCATCCTCTCTAGCTTCTTCATCTTTAAGCCCTTGTAAAATTTGTGAACGCTCATGTGTTTTATTCGAATCCTTCTTTATTTGCTCCCCACTTTCTGAACCATTTTCGTCCTTAGCTAACAAAAGAGAATGAATAATTGCCGATGTTGGTTTAGGAATACGGGCTGAACGACTAAAAAAATTGGAATTTTAAAAATTAAAAAACGAAAAAATTATTTTTTACCGAAGTCCACCAGGTGGCAAAGGCAATGATTTATCACGACAAATGGTTACTGAACGAGCCAATTTTGGATGCGCTCTCATCTTAAATTATTAAAAATTATTTTAACAAATATTAAAAAATTATTTTTTGCCTTTCCAGGAGGAGAAGCATTGCTATTATTATTTTTATTCTTTTTAAATTGTAATGCAAGAAGAGGTATTTCTATTCCGTGTTTTTCAAGTTTGTGTTGTTGCAATTCTTCAAAATTGTCATAGTCGATGCAACGGCCAAAACAAGAATCACACCTATTTTTGTTTTAAAAATTGTAATTTAAACCGTGTAGAACAAAGTTTGTTTCAAGTTTGTAAAAACATTTAAAGTTGTTTTTCAAGTTTATTTAATTAATAAACTTCAAAACAAGTTTATTTTACAAATTGTAAAAAAAGTTTATTTATTATACAATTTGTAAACTTGAAAACAAAGTTTATTTCCAAGTTTATTTATTTTTTTACAATTTGTAATTTAATTTTTACAATTAGCAAAACTTTATTTTACAAAACCTTAAAGTTGCTGTCAAGTTTATTTAAAACATTATCTCCAAGTTTATTTATTCAAATAAATAAACTTGGAAATAAAGTTGCAAAACATTTTACAAATTGTAAAAAATAAATAAACTTGGAAACTAAGTTTATTTTTCCAAGTTTATTTATTTTTACAAATTGTAAAATGTTTTACAATTAATAAACTTTAATTATAAACCTAAAAGTAAGTTGTTGCTTTCGAGTAGAAGACATTTTCTCTAATAATTCAACAGTTGCCGATCTAGGATTACCCAACAAAACATCGTGAACCTTTAAAAAAATATTTTTTTAATTAAATAAAAAATTAAAATACATTTAACATATGAAATTCATAATAATGTCGGGTGCTCATTTCTCGGTTACAAGCTGAACAATACTTTTCAACATGATTCTTTGCCTTTCTACCAACACTATTTTGTTGCAAAACCATTGAATCGGGTGTATTATTAATATTATTTGCTTTATCCAATAATTGCTTTTCTCCCTTAAATTAATTTTATTTTTTAATTTTATTTTACTCTTGATTTTTAATTTTTCCTTTTATTTTAAAATTATATTTTTAATTCTGTCACTCTTTCCTAAATATTTCCTATCTTTATTTTTTCTAATTTTTATTTTAATTATAATTTTAAATTTTTATTAAAGAATTTATCAAAATTTGTATTTTGTCATCAAAAATCGATTTACTAAAAACAAATAAAAATTATTAGTGTACAACAAAACTTAGTCGTTATTAAATTACAATAGCTTTTGTAAAACTTAAAAATTACAATTTGTAAATTTAAGAATAATTATAAACTTGAAATATTCAAGTTTAGTTAAATTTACAATTATCACCAAGTTTTACAATTAATTAAAAATAATTATAATTTTATTTCAAGTTTTACAAACATTTGTAGTTTTACAATAAAAACAAGTTTATTTTACAAACATTTTAAGAATTGTAATTTTAATTTATTAATTGTAAAACTTGAATTATTTTTTAATTCAAGTTTAATAAAAATTTACAATTATCATTAAGTTTTACAATTAGTAAAATACAAGTTTTTACAAAACAAGTTTTACAATAAAAACAAGTTTATTTTACAATTAATTTTTACAATTTGTAATTTCGAATAATTATAGTTTTAATAATTGTAATTACAATTCTTTAATAATTATGTTTTATATTATAGCAATGTGTAAGTTTATTTAACGACAATCAATAGCGAGATTTAAGCAGTGTTCAAAACACCCAAACGTTAAAATACCCATGAAGCTTTTAATTTTCTTTTACTTTCAAAATTTAATTTTTAATTTAATTTTTAAGTGTTTTAATTAATTTTTGTTTTTCGAATAAATAGAGTATATTTTTTTTTAATTGTTGAGAGTTTAATTAATTACTAGTTACTGCAATTTAGTATAGTTATAAAAGTTAGTTAGTTAAGCCATTTTAAAATTAATGGAATATGTATTTTTAAAAATTATTTTAATTAATTTCGGGTAGTTTAGACAGATTAGTTTTAATTTTAAAAATTTTTTAATTATTTTCTTCGATTAGACTATTTTAAAAATTAATAAATTCAATAAAAATCGATTAGAATTTTAAAAAAATAAGAAATAATTTTTTGAAAAAATAAGAAATAATTTTTTGAAAATTCTTAAAAAATTATAAAAATTATTAAAAAAATTAAAAAAAATTTATTTAAAATTTTAATCCTTAAGATACCTTTAAAAAATAAAATTAAAAAGAAAAAAACCTTTCCTCCCCGATATTCCCTTCTCCATTTATAAATTGTGCACAAAGTCGGTACTTGCTCCCCAAATTTATCTTTTAGCTGTTCAGTTGAAGCAATAGCCCCAATACCTTTATCACATAAATCAAAAATAAATTCTCTCATTTTTTGATAAATTGGGTTGTTTAGTGAATATGTACGTGGTGTTGAATTATTTGTTGAAGTATTTATTGGTGTATTTAAATTATTTGTATTTGGAGTTGATTGAACAATTGATGGAGAAACAGAAGACATTTTTTGCTAATTTTTGGAAAATTTTGTTTTTAAAAAAAAATTATTTTTTTTTGAATTTTTCCCTTAAAAAATAATTTAATTTATTTAAATTTTAAAATAAAAAATATTTTTTTTTTGAAATTATTAGAAAATTACTCGATCGAGTGTACTCTCTAAAAGCCTTACAGCCCCAAAACAACCACTTACCAGTTGCCCACAGAATACAGAATTTTGTGGAATGTTTAAAAAAAATAAATTCTATGGTCTATGGGCAGCTTATGGATTTTTTGTGAACAAATTTAAACAGACAACCAGATATTGGAAATTCTATTGGGGATTATTGGAAATTCTATTGAGGATTCTAATTTTAATTAGAGAGCTAGCTTGAAACGATCAAAATTTAGATCGGTATCTTGGACTAAAAACCAGGAAATATTTCGATATCTGAAATCCCTTTAAAATTTTTAAATCCCCTAAAAATCCCCTTAAACCTGAGGATTATAATTTTGAATTATTTTAAATAAATTATTTGGAAAATAAAAAATAAAGTAAATTTTCAATTTAATATTAATTAAGTAAAAAAATAAAGGTTAAAAATTAAATATAAATTAAGAAATAATATCTATTTACTTAACAAAATTAAAGAGGAAAAAATATTTACAAAACAAAAAGAAGAGAAAATAAAAAAGAGAAAAATTGTTTCTTCGATTTTATAAACTAAAATAAAATATTTTTTAAAAAATAAAATAATTAAATTTCAGAAGAATAATTATTTTATTAATTAAAGCTAAAATAGATGTCGTAATTCTGAGTCATTTTAAAATTATTTTTATAAGAAAAAAATATTTATTTTGATAAAAATAAATTATATTCTGTTATAATTTTATAAGCAATAAGGGGTAAAATAGAAATCAGAAAAAAGAATTAAATAAATCAGAAGAATGAGACAGAAAATTAAAAAACAGAACACCAAAAAAAAGAAAAATACAGAACAAAAACAGAAAATACAAAATTCTGAAATATTTTCAGGAAAATACAAATTTCAGAATTAATTTAAGAAGCTTCTAAACAAAATCAGAATTATAGAACCTGAAGGAAGAATAGAATATATTAAACTTTCCGGAAAACACCAAAATAAATACAAAACAGAAATAATCCGGAAAATACAAATACGGAAAATACAAATTTCAGGAAGTTTCCGGAAAACACAAAAATAATAAAAACAACAAGTTTCCGGAAAATACAAAAGTTTCCGGAAAACTTGACAGTAATTTACAAATATCAGAATTACTAAAACTTGAAACTTTCCGGAAAACACAAAAATGTATTTTACAATCCGGAAAGTTGTAATTGGTACAAGAGAATATAATAATGTGTGTAAGAGAAAATACAATATATAATTAAATTAATTTACAAATAAATAAGCCTTACCAAAATAATAAATGCTTTTATATGTATTACTGCTGCCTTTTATTAATAATTTTTATTTTTAAAAATTATTTTAAAAATAATTTTTAAAAAATAATTTTTAATTAATTAAAATAATTTTCATAATTTTAATTTATTATTATTCACCACAAAAAATTAGAAAAAATTATTTCTTTTTTCTCCAAAAATTATAGGCTTAATCGAAAAGAATTTAATAAATATTTGCGTTGTTCAATAATAAAAATAATATAAAATAATTTTACTCTTTCTCTTAAAATCCCCTTCCTTTCCTTGTATTTATTAGAGAGAAAGATGGACAATGCAAAAGAAAAGAAATTTAAAAAAGAAAAATAGAGAAAGAATTGTCTATTTAAAGTTTGTTAATGGTTAGAGAAAAGGGGAAATAGTGGGGGAAAAGGAGAGACTAGAATAATTCTTGTTGTAAAAGAAAGAAGAGAGAGTGTGTAAAAATGAGAGAGTGTCCATTCTGTCTATATCTATGAATGCATGAGTGAAAAATAAATTATTTTATAAATGATCGATTTTAGTAAATTAAATTAAAAATTATTTTTATTAATTTAATAAAAATAAAATTATTAATTAAATTAATTTTTAGGAAAATTTTTGAAAATTAAAAAAAATTTTTGGGGGAAAAAGACGAAAAAAATAAATTTTAATAAAAAAAGAGAAAAAGAAAAGCAGAATTTTTAGTAAAAGTAAATAAAAATGTAAAATGTTGGCATTATTTTTTAGCTAATATAAAAGAATTTAAAAGATAAAAGTAAGAAAATATTATTGACTTTAATTTATGTAAAAGTGAGGGAAAAAAAGTTGAAATATTTAAATAATCAGAATAAAATATTCTGATTTATTTAAAATTATTTTTAAATAAAATACAAGTAAAAATACAAAAAGCAAAAAATTCTGATTTTTTATTTATCAGGAAAAATAAAAATCAGAAATAAATTCAGAATTTAGGAGAGAAACATAATTCTGATTTTTTAAAACTTGTTTTGCATCTTTAAAACAAATTCTGATTTTTATTAAATAATAATTCTGATTTAAAGTTTAAAAAAACATTAGTTGTGTTTTAATAAAATTCTGATTTTAAAACTTAATCCTAATAATTATTTTAAAAGACATCAGAATTTTAAATGAACATGTTTTTAAAAAATCAGAATTTCTTGAATAAGCTTGTTTTTAAAAAATCAGAATTTTAAATGAACATGTTTTTAAATAATAATTCTGATTTTCTTTATACATATCTTAAAACCAGAATTAATTTCAGAAAATTAATATTTTTATTAATAAATTTCAATAATAATATTTTCTAACTTAAAAATAAAATTATTTAATTAGACGATAATTGGTTGGTAATAATTAAACCTGTAGACAATCCCCTAATAATAATCCTTTAATAAATTCTAATTTTTTAATTATAATTTATTTTTGGTAGCTGACAAATTAATTTAAATTTTAATTAATTAAAATTATTAAAAATTAATTTTAACTTAAAAAAATAAAAATGTAATAGGTAATTCCAATTATTTATTCATTTTAAAATAATAATTATTAAAAAAATATTTTATCAAAAAAGCAAAAATATTTAATTTTATGACAAATAAAAAAATATTTATATTTTTTAGTTTAGTAAATTCTCTTTTATTTATTGAGATCAATTCTGTCAATAATACAAACTTTTATTGGCTGCTTTTATTTTTGTTTATAATCAATAGAAGAATTAATTTTAAGTAAATATTTAATTGAAATTAAATTAAATTTTGTAGGTAATTTAATTTAATTAACAAAAATCAGAATTAGTAATGTTTTATAAAAAGCAGAATATTAAAACCT